ATGATCTGTTTTTTTAAAGGAGCCGTTTAATTCAGTTATGTGTCAATGAGTGTGACAGGGCAAAAATGAAAAAAAAATAGGACAACTTTTTTAAATCTTTTGAAATATGCAGCAAAACCCATGAAAACGACCCAAGTTTTAAATTTAGAGGATTCAGAAAAGACAATACGTTTTTATTCAGTCCAATAGATTTATCGTTTCATAATTTCAATGTTTCTTTTTGTAATTATTTTTATCTTTGTCTTTAATCTACTCCTCAATGCACAGATTCTCTCTTGCGATGGAAAGCACACAAATGGACAAGAAGGTGTTCTTATTAACGGGAGGTTGTGGCTACTTTGGATTTCGGTAAAAACTGTTTTACATGTATTATTTATCAAAATGTTTCAGTTTGTGCTACTTACCTGATGCAGTTCTGCTTAATGATCACAAGGTGGTGCTGTCGTGTTAATTATCTGGGTGTTTTTTTTTTTTTCTCTTCTTTTGGATTCTTAGAATGGTGATTTTTTATATTCTTTATTGCTGTGTTTATTTAGATTAGATTATCTATGAGTTTCAGTGAGATTTATTTATTTTAAATTGTTTATTTTCAGCCTTGCATCTGCTCTGCATAAAAGAGGAGCCCGAACCGTTTTGTTCGACGCTGTTCGTCCAAGCCAAGAACTTCCTGAAGGCATGGTCTTCATGCAAGGAGATATACGTGACTATGCACAAGTTGAGAAGGCTGCGTTGGGTGTTGACTGCGTGTTCCACATCGCCTCTTATGGCATGTCTGGTAGGGAGCAGCTGAACAGACACCTGATCGAGGCGGTCAATGTTCAGGGCACCAAGAACATCCTGAGAGCCTGTGTGGAAAACGGAGTACCGAGACTGGTTTACACCAGCACTTTCAACGTGGTGTTCGGAGGCCAAGTGATAGAGAACGGCGACGAAAGCCTTCCTTATCTGCCGCTCCATCTTCATCCCGACCATTACTCCAGAACCAAGTCCTTGGCTGAGATGGCAGTGCTAAAGGCAAACGGAACAGCCCTGACTGGTAGCTCTGAGGTGCTGAGGACCTGCGCTCTGCGTCCAGCAGGTATCTATGGACCCGGTGAGCAGAGGCACCTCCCTAGAATAGTTAGCTACATAGAGAAGAGGATCTTTAGCTTTGTTTATGGCAGTCCCAGCAGCTTGGTGGAGTTTGTCCATGTGGATAACCTGGTGTCCGCTCACATGCTTGCTGCAGAGGCTCTGACTGCAGAGAAGCAGCACCGCTCTGCCGGCCAGGCATACTTCATTTCTGATGGGAAGCCTGTCAATAACTTTGAATTCTTCAGACCTCTGGTTGAAGGCTTGGGCTATCCTTTCCCCAAACTGCGCCTCCCCATCTCACTCATCTACCTGTTTGCCTTCCTCACTGAAATGATCCACCACATAATTGGTCCGCTCTACAACTTCCAGCCCCTGCTGACTCGCACAGAGGTTTATAAAACAGGCGTCACACATTATTTCAGCATGGCCAAAGCCAGAAAGGAGCTGGGATATGAGCCGCAGGAGCACAACCTGCAGGAGGTGGTTCAGTGGTTCAAGAGCAGAGGCCACGGGAGGAGATGTCAGAGTCCCTTCTTCTGGAGATTTATGCTCAACATCCTGTTTGTTTCTGCTTTTATTGCTGTGGTTCTGTCTTTTCTTCCTGTTGCTGGCAGCTGGTGAAAAGCCTGGCTTCATCCATCAATCCAAATGTATTTATACAGAACTTTTCACACAATCAGCTATGTGATCAGTGCTCCTGATCCTTCAAAAAATACTTCAATAGATGCTAGACGTTTTCAAATCTATTCGATCTAAAATGTTCTTTTTTGCACAAAAGCAGAAATTAACGAAGCATCTGCTTTGCAATATAATGGGACCAACCTGTCTTAGTTACTAATAAAACTTGTCCAAGACTATCTCTCTGTTTTAATCCTCCTAGAAGGGATAAGAACTCACAATTTTATGTTTTTTTTTACTGATTTATTATTATTAGAGATAGACCAATACCAACACAGATTATTTTGACATCAGCCTAACCGATCCCCGATGTTTACAATATTTTCTGGCAATTGTTGAAACCGATATTGCTATCGCATCCTCTGTTTAAATGACTATATAGTAATCAATATTAAACAGTTGTCAATATAATACAAATATTTTTTTAGTTTTTGTTTATAAATCAAAGAAAACATTAACAATAAATCAAAAATGGAGGGAGGTGAATGCATGCGCTTCATGCGTTTTCAAGGCATTGCTGCCTAATGCACTAATAAGTCAGCCAAGAAAGAAAAACAGATCAGCCGTCCTATACAATATGACGTCCGGGCAATATTAGCATTTTTTTGTCATGTTTCGGTATCGGTTGATTTGCATTGTTCGATTTACCAGTGCATTCAGCTTGCAAAGCCTTGAGATCATGTGAGGTGCAGATATTTTTGGTCCAACCATTGTTAGTGTTTTTTTCTTATACAAGTAAAATTTGTTAATAAAGATTTCTTTTCCTTTATAGTCAGACTCATGTGGCATTTGTTTTGGTGGTGCCTTTTTTGTTGTGTAAATAGAAGAAGAGAAATCCAAAATGGCTGCACGTATCAGGGTTCAGTTAGACAGAAAAATAATCGCCATCAGGCTTGAAAAAAACCCCTGCATCGGTCAATCTCTAATACACTTTTAAAGTATCATTAGAAAAAAAATATATTCTGCTAACTGTGTTCATTCATTCAAGAGTTTTATTTTTTAAGCCAACTCAGGAAATAAAATGTTTTTATGTGAAAAAAAAATACAGTTGGGTTTAGATTTTGGAGGTTTCCTCCTCAGCTGTGTTCTTTAAACAGATTACTGTTTTATAAATTGGCCTTAAATGACCTACTAACTTTGGTTGTACTGTATAAGAATCTGTTGTTAAATTTCATTGTATATAATTTGATATGACTCAGTCTCTATGACGAATTGTAATGAAGTGTTTTTATCTTAATTAAGACCTAATTGGATTTTATACATCTGCGGATGAATAGAGCCTCTTTATAAAGTTGCCTTATATGTTGTAATGTAGTCCTATATAAATAAACCAAATTCAACAGTTTGAAGTATTTCAGTTTAAATCTTTTAATGTATGCTCAAATACCTTAATTAAATTGGCAATGTGTCTAATTTAATTTCCATGGTAATGTTCTAGTAGTTGTTCAGTAGAAATTTAGAGACAACAGAGTGCTGCTTACACGCATGTTAGTAGGAAAGTTGAGTGGAAGGAAAAAACATGCTTAAAGAGTTGCACTCACCAGAAGATTCTGAAGCAAAGTCATTTAACTGGTTTCATGAGGCTTTGACAGCAAATTGGAATCTGAGTTAAAGAACACCTGAGACTGAGATACTTTGGCATTTATTGTGTTAAGTCGCTTCTAAACAACAGGGGGGGGGAAAGTACAAGGGTATTGCTTAATTGTCCAAATAAAAAGATAAAGTTTTCATTTTAATTTGAAATTACAGATTCAGAAATTGGAGGAGAGAGAAGTAATCATAAAAGATTTAATAAGTCATGTCATCTTCATCCAGTCAGGTTTATCAAAGAGGTCTTAAGACTTTATTTACCTATCAGCATTGCCAGAAGAATCAATACCACCTTTAAAAACTCGTGTATCACCAAGTAGCAAAATACTCCGTCCCAAACTTTATAAGGGAACAAGACACCTGACCTAACAATGCATGAAATTAAGGCTGTTGTTAAAGGAAAGGGCATCTTAAACACCTCAGCAGATCTTAAATGCCTTCATGTTGCAATGTCAGTGCAGATACTGTGCCATATTCGTCAAAACTATAATACTTAGAGCATACAAAGGGATTAAAATACATTTAAGTTTTATTTTTTGAAGTTATTTACTGAAATCAACTTGATGATATGCATATTTATGATGCATTTGTAAGTGTGCAGCCTAATAAAGCTTTATAATTAGTGTTGCGCCGATGCCATTTTTTGGCACCTATACCCGATACCTGGCTGTGCAGTATTGGCCGATAGCAATTCCATCTGTTTTAAATTGATGTGTGTGTGTGCATATATGAATAACTTCATACTACTTGGATGTGAAATAATCCAGTAGAACTTTTTATTGCCTACCTGGAATGGGTGACAATAGTTGCAAAACTTTTGGATTTCAAAGTACCGATTCCGATACCACAGTTTTAGTGCTGGATCGGGGCCCCGGCCGATACTGGTATCGATATCGGTGCACCACTAGTTATAATCTTGTAACAGACGCTTGATATAGCATTTTTAGATAATTTTTCAGATTATGAAAATAAATAAAGAGAAAGAGATGATGGACTTGTGTAGTATTTGTTTTCGTGGTGTCATTTTTATGTTTAAATAGAAGAAGAGAAATCCAAAATGGCTGCACATATCAGGGATCAGTTAGACCGAAAAATAATCTGCATTAGGCTTGAAAAAACCCTGAATCGGTCAATCTCTAATACACTTTTAAAATATCATTAGAAAAAATTACATTCTGCTAACTGTGTTCATTCATTGAAGAGTTTTATTTTTATGCCAAATTAGAAAAAAAAAGTTTTATGTGAAAAAAATACAGTTGTGTTTAGATTTTGGAGGTTTCCTCCTCAGCTGGGTTCTTTAAACAGATTACTGTTTTACAAATTAGCCTTAAATGACCTACTAACTTTGGTTTAACTGTATTATATTGTAACAGACTCCTGATATAGCATTTTCAGATAAATTTTCAGATTATGAGTTTATCTGAAAGAAATGGAAACTAAAAAAAGAAAACATAATGCCTGCAGAGTGCATATCTGCTGCAGAAAGAGTCCGACCAGGTGAGGTTTTCTTTATGGCGTATTTCACTTTGCAAAGGATGAATGCAGACGTCCCCTTTCCTGTAAACTATTCTCTTCAGAGCCGGGCAGCCCCTTGCTGAGTTGGTCGCAATCATTGTTTCTCTGCAGCATTAACCACATTCCAGAGAGGCGCAGCGCATCCCGTCTCCCTCCCCGCATTCCTTTCAGGCGAACGAGTCCCCCGCGTAAAACCGCCTTTAAATTCAATTTCCCTGCTTTTTCTAGACGCATACTGATAAAAGAAGCCTATTTGTGCTATAAGGGATTATTCAAACCGGTCCAGCTTCCACAGAAGCGCCTGTAAGGGAATCCCGGAGGAAAACCAACAAGGGGAAATTCCTCCGCGCAGCGCGCCATTGACTGTAAAGACCTTTCAACTTAACAAAAACTGAAGTTGACAAACGCATCGCCGTCGACTGGAACTGTGAGAAAGAGTTTTTCGGTGTTGGGAGGAAAGCAGGAGGATCATGCGGCTTGAGGTGCGGGTTTGCGCCTCCGCCGGCGTTTTTGCGTGAAGGAGCCACGGCTGCGCAGCGGCGTTTTTGTTTTGATTTCCATGTGAAACACAATTAGGAGCTCCGCGGAGCGCAGCGCACTCTCAACTTGGTTCTCTCATCTGGAGCGCAACATGGAGCATTATGAGGAGGACTTGGGACTCCGGGCCGCCACACTGATGGAGGACCTTACGCTGTACGAAGCTTATAAAGAAGGGATGTATAACGCCAGGAGGGACTTGGTTATAAACCCAGATTTAGACTTCTCTGCTCCGGCGGTGGCTGGGCTGAAAACCAAGCCGATGAATGGCACCTCTGTGCTCCACCAGCAGCATCACACTTTGGAGAATTTCACGCCGGGGAATAAAGTGTATAACGCGGCTCCTGTGCGTCCGGTGAGCTGCAGCCGGACGGTTCCCGTGGATTTCTGCGCCCCTCAGAGAGACGCTCCTTTCACCGAGGAGGGCTGCTGCACCAAATCCGAAGTGGCTTTGCCCTGCTACCCCGGCACATCCGAAAGGCACCGGAGGTACTCTTTAGAGGTGCAGGGACACAGGTACAGCACCGGGTCCACTTTTGACGGAGTCCCTCTCAGCAAAGCGGCGCCTCTGCCCGGCAACAGGTGCAACAGCATCTGCATAACCAGCAGCCACGACGGGAGGTACGGCGCAGCGAGTCCCCGCTCCAGCCTGGCGTCCTCCCTGTCCTCTCAGGAGCAAAGCAAACATGCCAGCCCGCGATCGAGCATCAGCAGCCCGCGCACCAGCCTGGTGGTACCGACCCAGGACCGATACAGCAGCCCGAGGTCCAGCTTGGTTCACTGTGAGGGCAACGGCATCCTTAGCCCGCGATCCAGCTATGCCAGCACGGCCAGTGACACCAGCAAGCACTCCAGTCCCCGGACCAGCCTGAACAGCTGCGATTGCTGCAGCAAGCCCAGCAGCAACCGCACCAGCGGCATCAGCATGGGCTACGACCAGAGGCACGCCAGTCCCAGGTCCAGCACGGCCAGCCAGTACTCCTTTACCACCAGTCCGAGATCCAGCTACTCTGACTCTCGGTACGGGCCTGTGGTCAACCATGACCTGGAGGGGGCCATCCTGCACGGCGCGCCCCTGGCGAGTCCCCGATCCAGCTTCTGCAGCCAGGACGGGAGCGCTAGAGCCGGGGCCGCGGCCAACTGCGTGCTCAGCCCGCGCTCCAGCATCTCCAGCCACAGCTCCAGAAGCTCCCGCAGCTCCAGGGGGTCTATGAGCACCTACCCGGACCTGCAGCTGCCCTCACCCAGGTCCTCCATGCTGGGCAGCGGGTTACCTGAGGACGCCTTACTGCAGGAGCTCGCAGACTCCAACGGGATGCAGACTCGCATGCATCTGCAGACGGTGCCCGAACCTCAGCCTCATCCGGGAGGGACCGCGGAGATAAACGCCGGTTCACCGTCCTCCTTCAGCTACGGCGTGTCCTCAAAGGCGGCCTCATCAGGCCAGAGGTATAAGTTACCTTACCAGGTGACCAGCAGGGAGAATGGGCCGAGCCAGGCGGAGAAACGGCTGGAGGCGCTCACCTTGGAGCTGGAGAAGGAGTTGGAGATGCATATGAAAAAGGAATACTTTGGTATGTTTCGGAATTATTTACCCAAGTTAGACATGCGTCAATAATCACACCTTTTTTCCTTAATATTCTCCTATGGTGGTTTGCAGGTTATTACTAAAAACAGATTTATTTGAAATACATCCAACAAACTCCCACTTTGTTTTGACTCTTCATGCATCAGCCTCTGATCCAATGTTTAAAATCTGATAAAGATACTTATTTTTTACTATCCAAGTCAAAATATTTTTTGTCAGGGAATTAATTGTACTTTTTTGTGCTTGATATTTAAAATAATTTTACTGGATGAAAAAAAAATCTCTGCTGACCAGAATAAGCCCAAATGGTTAATCTATAGTCTCTCTTTTTATTATTTTGTATGAGATGATCAGAAATTTTAAAAGGAAATCTTTCAATCATGATTTTTTTGTCTGCTCGGATTTGCATAAAGTAAGATGCAGGAAAACTGATTTGATAAAGTCGCTTTAGCTGACCTAATCTGATAAGTGGTGCTTATACCCATCTGTAAAATCAACAGGTTGCCTGCAAAGTTCAATTTTAGCCATGCAGAGATTAGCTGACCTTTTTCCCCAGAGTACAAAACCTTCTGCTTTTAGAGCCATGATGGAATCAAGAAATGCCATCGCTGCTTCTGGTGTTTTAAATGCAGTCTGCTGCTAATAAAATCTGGAAAGCATCCCTGTTTCTATATCTTTGAAGCCCGTTTGCAACATGCTAATGCTACATGACCACAAACAGGTCACCCTCGGCCTGGTGGGCGATGCTTTGCAGGGCAGTACTAATGTCTTGGCAGAGCTAACATTTGCAGAGAACAGCACGGCGCTGAATGGACCCCTCTGTTCTGGCAGAGCACACACCCTTCTGTCATTTGGAGCAGTGTAGTCGGGGTTTGCTGAAAATCAAGTGCACTTTGGGAGTCACTGAGGGGGAGCAAAGGCAGGCAAACTCGAAAACAATGTTTTAGGATAGCAGCATTTGCCCTTACAATACCCACTCCCCTTTTTTCACTGAAAAAGATCAGTTTTCACTGTTCTGTGCACTGTTTGGAAACTTTGTCTTATTAATTTTAGGCTTGCAGAGAAACTTCCAATCAACATTATGGGATTTTAGAGACAGACAAATGGCTGCAGTGAGGAAACAGTGGCTTGTTCTGCAGTCTGTGCACTTGCTTAGAGTCAGCCGACACAGCTGTGGATTTGTTCCAGAGGAGCAGGTGAAAGCGGGGAGATGGGAGGGCCAGGAGGAGGAAGAGCCAGGGAGATAATGGAGGTGGTAATAGATAGAGATGGATAGAGGAGGGAGGGAGAAGAATGCAGTCAGACGTTCCTCAGTTTGAGCCCATTAGAGACAGCTCTGTTTCTGTAGCGACAGTGTAGAAATTGATCGGCGAGGCCTTCTTTCAGGGGGCCCCAGCGTTGCCTGCCAGTGTCCCGCTCTGCCTGCTCCGTGCTGCCGGCTGGCCCTTGTGTGGCCTCTGTTTGTTGTGGCAGAGGAGCTGTGAATCAACAGCTGGGCCCGATGGAAGCTTGCAAATGAAGCAGCAGAGTGAGCCCCTCCCCTCCAGCAACTCAGCTCAACTCCCCCGCAAAAGCCCTTCATTAACCAGCCAGTGGGGAGTCGGGCAGCACCAGACACTTGGCACACGATCTTGGCTGGCGGGCCAGACATAGTTAGTGGGGGTCAAGTCTGATCACCTGCCCAGAATTATAATGGCAGTAGTCATGCACATGCCTGACACACACATGCTGACTTGTGAACAAAAGCACACAGTATTTTTGCTGTAGTGAAGCCAGAGACACACTACAGCCGAAGTCAGTGTGTGGATGTTTGTGTTTGCTGCAAATTTAAAAAACCTCAGTACCATTTATGCAAATTTAGAAGAAAAACAGTCATTTTAGATCTTCTTTTGGTGATATTATTCTGCATTATTTCTGACAATGCTGGTAACGATTTGTTATTTATGAAAATCAGATTAATTGTTGGATTGTCTACCTGTTCATTTTATCCATCTTTGTTTAAAACAAAAGGCATGTAGGAAGGAGGAGGCTTTAAGGCTTATATTGCAGGAGGTTTTAATCTACAAGAATTTTCAATTCTTATAAAGGAAATTAAAATCAGAGAGCTAATCTCCTGCAGAACCAAGAGTTTGATTATTAGTCAAACTAACATCTATTCAGCTATGATTAAGCAAAGAAGAAGAAAAAGAAAAGAAAAATAGCATCAGACTAATGCTACAAATTTCAAGTAACCAATGTCTACAAATCCAAATAGGAATAAACATGTAAAGCACGTGGAAATTCTGTACTGACAGGCAAAGTTACCAACTGGCAAGTGTATAATAGGGTTTCTGCGGGTCATTAAAAATCATTAAAAGTCATTAAATTATAATGTCTTTAATTAAGGCCTTAATTGGCATTGAATTTCATTAAATGGAATTATAAAAACAGTTTTGTCAGATATATCAGATATAACGTGTTGTGAGTGTTTGCGTGGAGCTGCTTCTGGTTGATCATAAAGCTGTATGTTCGGAAAAGAATCTCAAGGCAGAGAAAAAGCTAGAGAACGCGAAAATGCAAATGTCAACTAAAGTGGCTGGAAAATTAGGAATTTGGGAGATGGCTGCAGCCTGTCGATGGTAAAGATGACGAAGGATTTTGGCGTGTTTTTTATATATACCGGTATATGAGATTCATGGGTACTTGTTGATGGCATTAAAATTATTTCTAAGAGCATTAAAAAGAATAAAATTACAGTTCCTGTATAAACCCTGTATAAAGACTTCATGTTTTAAATCATCAGCATGCCACAAGACGTTGGTTTGTGGAGACCCATGTTTCCAGAGGGGGATTTTAAAGGAACTGGGGGAGTGGAGTTGCTGAAGGGGATGAACAGCCTCTGTTGCCTCTGTGTCTACCAGAGTAAAAAATGACCAGGGTAGAACATCACAGACTGCTCCACTTTCAAATAGGTTGATGCTTTTTTTTTTTTACAGTGATTTATTCTTATTACAGTCAGAATCACCTTTAGTTGCAAGAGTCTGTTGACAAAAACAATGAATTTGACTCTATTTTAACTTGGCTTTTAATGAAAATGGAAAAATAGACATGATTATGCTTTGCCCCTTTGCTTATTTCATGCTGTTGGTTGGCCCTTGTGTGACCTCTAGGTTAGAATGGAGCCAAATAATGGTAGTAAATCCTTCAATTGCAGTAATATTAAGACATCTTTTTTAACTATTGTGTCCTGAGGCCCAAACAAAACAAACCAGAAGCCAGGAGGAATGACAAGGTGTGGCTAATGAGGCCATGGGGGAAGTTTGCTGGACTTTACTTACTCATTGTCTGTGAATGCTACAAACTTCCTTTGACTTTGAAGGGATCATAATTCAGGAAGTAGACGCTGAAAAAAGATCACAGGTTTATGGCTAGATCATGACCAGAACTCACACTTTGTTATCACTCTGTATAAGTTATTAATTGTGATAAAGTAGCCATTTTTGTTTAGATGCTGAAAATGACCGTTTTTATTTTCCTCTCTGTCTGTGGGTGAGACCTTGGTAGATTCTGATATGTGAGAAGAGTTGAGGTCGAGACAAACCAGATCTGATTTAATGTTCGATCTGACAGATGAACAGATTGTATAAAGTCGCAGGCATTAGGTAGAAATGAATGGGGCTGCCTTGTGCTTATGTAGTTTCCAGCCAAAGTAGACCCCCAGTCTATGTTAGTCAGATGTAAGTCCAATTTTAAAAGGTGAGTCATCAGTCTGACAGGAAGTGAGACATGATGGCAGAGTAAAACTGGTCTGCATTGGGTAAAATACGATAAAAAATCTCTTAAGTTGCAAGGTAAACCGGTCAGGTCCATCCCTGTATAGAAATCTTCTTTGATCCTGGTAGAGCATGTCTGGTGTATATTCTCCAGTGAAAGGAGAAAAACAAGATTTGGTTGCCGATTTGGAACAGTTCTGACATTTTCAACACTTACCTCACATGACTGATGAATGGTTTTACCTACTGGCATCCTGAAAACAAGCTTTAGAATCACACTTATCTCTTCACATCTCCAATTGGCATGTACCATTGCAAAGTACAATTTGCCCGACTGCAACTGTCAGTAAAACGGGACAGATGGACCCAGTATTCAGGCGAGTCAGACAATGGGAAGTTTCAAAACGTTTAATGACAGAATATTAGGCAGAACAGAACAGAGACAAAATAGAACATGGGCTGCTGTGGATCAGTGGACCTGCAACCGCTGCAGGGGAGGGCGGAGCATCGCCCATCACTGGCACTCTGGTTGAGGGAGAACCACAGGTAAGTGACCACGATAATCTGACAGAAGATAATTGTCCGTGTGAGTCACTTACCTGGTTTAACAGTTCAGTCCATCTTCTCGGGTGAGGCAGGATCAGCCGATGCACTGCCAAAGAAATGCGACGCTCAGCCATCCAGAGTGTCCCCGATGCAGCAACCCCAGTGAGCAGGCAAGAGACCGATCCAGGTCAGGGAAACGGTTCAAAACAGGATCGTTCTGAGATCCAGGAGTCTGTAGCCTGGTCAGGGGTTCTGATCCAAACAGGAACTGAAAGATCCAGGGTTCCAGAAATCCACAGAGCGTTCGGGCAGGTTCAGAGTTCCAAGATTCCAGCAACAAGACAAGACAAGACATGGTTCCAGGAGAAACTGCAGAACTTTAACTGGCTCCATCCAGAAGCCAGGATCACTGGAGTTAAAACTGGCTTTCCCCGCACGCCGAGCAAAACGCTGAGGGCTTAGCGGAGAAGAGTCGCGACATAACCAGGATACAGGAGACAAACACAAACAGCCTCTCTTCACACTGGCCGCCGAGAGTCAGGACATTAACAACAGACCTAACTAATCTAAAACTCAAACAAACATGAATAACTAACATGAATACATAACACAAATAATGATCTGGCCCCGATAGCTGGGCTTAACCATATTTAAAGCAGACCAAACAGGTGGATAAGATGAATGATAA